TATTTTACACAAGGTTAGAAAGAACATACTATTTGAATCGTATAATTTATAACGTAATTTTTTGACAGTTATCTTGAAAACCGTTGTTATTCTTACGATTTATAATAAAGCGGTATATCAGAATTTTTTAAACTTTTATTGTTATTATTATCATAACAATAACTTCATTGATATTTACGTTTTTTTACAAAAATTTTTCGTAATTATCAATATGCTATCTAACACTTAAAAATTGATAAATTTTTTCTTATTTTTGTAACTAACAATATTTATTTAAATATATATTATATATTAAAATATTAAATACGAAAATGTAAAAATAATATATATACACTTATTTATATTAATTAATAAAGAATTGTAAAAGAGAATTATCATTTTAAGGAAACATATAACATCACAATGTAAGTATATATTTATTTATGCAAGTCATTGTTTTTTATTTACTATCTAAATTTTAATACTAATTTTATTACTAAATTTTAATTTTTTCTAGCATGTTGAGTTTAACAAGATATTGTACTTCAACAATAATGAGAAGCAGCATAATAAAGTTTTTTCCAGTTAAAAAAAATTTATATACATATACTCCAAAATCAATAATTACAACTCTTACATTAGTGAAAAGGAATTCCATTTTGCATAAAGTATTGTATATTAATATACAATAATAAATATGTATAGCTATGTATTTAATGTACAAAATAATAATATAATTTTAAATAATTTTATGTAATAATTTAATTTCAGGATTTATTTAAAGGATATAATATCATTGCAAAAGGATTTGCATCAAAATCAAGTCAGAAATCAGATAAAGTTTTGGGCAAATGGTTATTAAGTTGTAGTGGCATGATTTTTGTAGCTGTTATTTTAGGTACAGTTTTTTATTGGTTTTTTTATTATTGCGCTTGTACTATCATAAAAGCAGTTGTAGATAAGACTTATGGAAAATAAATTTATCATAATAATTAAGGAGTACTTTAAACGAATATTCATTATTACAATTAATACATATGCTTATAACATGTTAATATATTATAAATATATATATATATATATAATAAATTTCTATTATAAAACATAATATAAATAAAGAAATTAAAAAAGAACTATTATATTATTGTATCTTACCTATGAATTTAGGAGGTGTAACAAGACTTACAGAATCTGGTTTATCCATGGTTACTTGGAAATTACTTGGAGAAAAAATGCCAATTACTGAAAGTCAATGGCATGCAGAATTTGAACGTTATAAACAATTTCCTGAATATAAAATGTAAGAGTTTTAGAATATAAAATAATAATATTATTTATTAAATTCATTTTTCATATTAATTTTTTTTATAGTAATAATCAAAATATGACATTGGAAGAATTTAAACGAATTTGGTGGATGGAATATTTGCATAGAATGTGGGGACGTTTGATAGGTGCTGTTTTCATAGTTCCAGCTACTTATTTTTGGGCAAAAGGTATGCTCAAACCAAGCATGAAAATCAGAATAACCATTTTGGGTTCATTAATTGGTTTACAAGGACTCATGGGTTGGTATATGGTTAAATCGGGTTTAGAAGATCGTTTCGTGGAACCCTCAGACGTACCCCGCGTCTCGCAATATCGTTTGGCTGCACATTTAGGAATAGCATTTCTATTATATACAGGATTTTTATATAATGCTTTAAATTACTTGATTCCTGCTCAAAAATTAACTCTTAATAATTCAAATGTTAATATTAGTGATTTGAAATCAAAACTGAAGAAATTTAGAATGTTGGTTCATTTAACGAAAGGACTAGTCTTCTTTACTGCTTTGTCTGGAGCTTTCGTTGCAGGAATGGATGCAGGTCTTATTTATAATACATTTCCAAAAATGGCAAATAAATGGATACCAGACGATATATTTGCGATATCACCTATATGGAAAAATTTTACCGAAAATCCAACTACAATACAATTCGATCATCGAATTCTGGTATATTTTAAGAAAAAACAAATTGAATCAAATTATGATATTACAAACTAAAATATAATATTATAAATTAAATTTGTTTTTTACAGGGTATTACAACTTTATCATTAATAACTTATATTGCAATTGCGTCTCGTAAATATAAACTTCCGGGTAATGCAAAAAAAGCTGCAATAGCAGTTCTTTGTGCTGGCTATTTACAAGTGCTATTAGGTATTTCAACGTTGTTGCATCATGTACCTTTACCAATAGCTGCATCTCATCAATCTGGCAGTCTTATTGTTTTGAGTACAATGATATGGTTATGTCATGAATTAAAATATTTAAAATATGTATTAAAATAAATTTATAAAATATCCTGTATATTTTATTTTATTTTTTTGTTATTTAAAAATTCATAAAAAAAAGTGCTACAATAGTTTCACAATATTATATTTTATTTGACAATGCATAAATTATAATAATTAATATTCATGGAAAATCATTTACATTCATTTTAAGGCAATATATCTATTATACAAATATTATATCAAATTTTAAGTAATTTTATATCATTGAAAATCTAATCTTTTCAATTTCATATTTAATATTTAAAAAGAACAAATAAACATTTAATTTAAAATAATATTAAACAAATATTAACATTTTTTAGATTATATTTTACGAACGTGACTGGATTATTTTTAAAGTATAAATAAAAAAATTTATTACTAACATCATTTATTTATTTTAATGCTTTGCATATGATAAATATTTAATAATGTTAGTACTAGCATCTAATTTCAAAAACCAGTTTTAATAAGTAATATTATTTATTCAATTAATTTAAAAAATGTGTAAACCCTGCTTAATGAATAATTGCTATTTAATTATAATAATATTTTTTATTAACATTTCAAAAATTTTTTTCATATTTTATAATTTCTGATTAGCAATACAATGAATTCAATTTTATTTTTATTGGCAGTTGTTCTACCTCATCTCCAATCAGTCGTCCTTTAATCTTTGTTTTTCGTTTAAAACGCCTTATATTGGTCCAACATAGCATTATTAATATTAAGCAGTAGCAATATTTAAGAGGCGTTCTAAATTGCACTTTCATTATTGTAACACTTTTTATTTACACTCGTCATATTTTTATTTTATTATATGACAATTGCGCCGCATCACATTTTTATTCAACATTATACGGACATGAGTATTAAAAAAAGGAAAATGTATATTATCATTCATACAAATACAAATTATATCACTTAAAAAAACGCAACATTTATATTAAAATCTTTATATGAAATATGCGTGAAAAATATAGTTTAATTAATACTATACACAAAATAATCTTCTTGTATTATTTGAATATCAATCAAAATGAACTTAAAATGCAGTCTCTTGCTATTGTAAATAACACAAATTCTATATTGCAAAACTAATATCAGTCTGATAGAATTTATTGTTCCATTGAGAATCTTATGTCTTAATTCTTGGTAACAAATCTCTCTATAAATGCAATATTATCATTTTCATATTTATAATATGAACTCAAATCTATTTATACATAATCGATGAAACAAATGGAAAATATTTCATTTTTTAATTATTTCAATTATTAGGCATAGAACTTTGTGCCTTTAATCAGCCATGAACTAACTAATCAATATTTTAATTGATACGATCGTCAATTATCGATTACGTATATTTAGACTAAAGCTCATAAAAAATAATATTTTAGACAATGTTATTGTTTTACTAAAAAAATGTCGATTTAAACAACATTATTCAGTATTTATATATTCTTAATGCATCATTACATTGATTATTGAACAAAGAGATTTTGTTTTTGCTAATCCTTGAACACAATTACTGAAAATGTAAATAAATGAATAATATAGTGAATATATGGAACTTTTAAATTTACAGACTTAAAACAAGTGCTTGCTTTATTTGCACTGATGTTTATAATGTATCAAAAAAATGCATATAGTAATGCAAGTAATAGTTAATGCAAAATTTCATTTTCTTAATATGAACAGGATCTTATACATTTATGTTCATATTTTTAATGATTGCTTCCAGTCATTTCTATCACTTGTATGCAATAATCCAATTTATAAATAAATTACTTATAAGATTAAATATGTTTGCTTTGACACTCAAATTGAGAATAGTGGAATCAACATATGTATCTGTATACATACATATTATATATTACGTATTATACATACACGCACACGCAATACTATATATTATAATTTTATAATCAATGCATATGAAAAACAAACTTATCACTGCTGGGTTAGTACAGTCAATAAATTCACACGCATAATATGTCATCTGATATAATTATACTCTAGATCATTTTTTTTGTGCAACATGTGGAGCAGAAGTAAGAATTAAGTGCTATTAAATTTGAATTAGCAATAATGATTTTATTGTGATCATTTTATTGTAAGCACAAATATGAAACATAGATATGAAAGTGATTGTGCTGATAAAATTATATAAAAATTATACATTCTGCACCACATGTAATTTAATTATTAATCGTACATTTTTTCTTCTGTGCATTATTCAGCAGTATAGATCTTATATTATATCTTCTTAGTACTTATAGGAAGGAATCGTAAATTTTAGGCCACTAATAGGCCAACATGTACTTTTATGAAATAATCCAAATATATATCTTATAAACGTTCACGATACATTTACAAAAAATTTAATAAATTTAATCAAAATGAAAAAATGTCAAAGATTTGTGTATATATTCTACATATTATGCAATAAAGCTGTTATAATTTTTTCTATTGATTTGATTTTAAAAAAAATTAAAATTATTAATTATAAAAAGTTCAGAAAATGTGAAATTTGTAAGAAATGAAAGAAAAATGCATTGCAACAATTAGTATATACTTTGCTCCTTTTTTCACTATTGTCCATTGTATTTTTATATTCATTCATATTTATATAATTTTTTTATAATTTCCTTATCATTATTGTTATTATTATAATCTTTTTTAAGTGTACAATTTAA